GAGATCGGCAGTTCACATATCCGTGATAATCATTCAGCTAATGGCACGAATATGTATTTCCCGTACGTATGCCGTACTTACTGCAAGGTGCACCTCAGTCGTACATGCTGGTACTTGCCGAAACACCAAGGCAGCACGGACCCGTCTTTGATTTTAGGTACGTCGTACAGATCGCACGTTTTGTCCGTACGGAAGGCCTCGTAATCCAACAAGCACTCCCACACCTGGGGGTGGGGTGGGTGGGGTGGAGCAGTAGCACCTGGGGGTGGGGTGGGTGGGGTGGGTGGGGTGGAGTGGGGTGTAGCCCGCGCGGCGCCTCCCCCTTACCGCCACTAACCTGAACGGTTGGTCCTCCGGAAACCTATTCACCCTGTCTCGTACTGCACCGCTCTCACCCTCGTCCCTCACCAAGCAACCCAGTCCCACAGAGAAGACGTGTCTAAATAGAATGGCCCTCCTCGGGCCACATCTCCCCCTCATCCGAGCCCCGCTACCACCACCAGACCTCAACCTCCCAAACACCAGAAAACCTACGTCCTTTTGGCGCTCTCACCGCCATCTCCCCCCTCCCCTGTCCGAGCGACCCCACCTCCCCCCGGCTCTCCAGCACCCTACAACCTCGGAGCGGCACTAGGGAAGAAAAAGGGTTCTTCCCTGCACGACGTGACCGCCTCCATTCCCCGTCCTTCTCCTCTCCCTCTCCCGTCTCGGGGTTCCCTCTCACCTATTCCCTTGACCTCCAACCCCCATCCCCTTCGAACTCCTATACCCCCCCGAGCCCTGCCCTACAAACTAATCTCAAAGCACTCTTAGGCAATAATCTCCACCGCTTCGGCGCACCGCAGTGCGCCTTCTGAAACCGACAGGATCGGGTGGTCGGGTCCCACCCTGTCACAGCCTCTCCGCGGGGTGCCCAGCGCCGTGAAGGAGCGTATGTATGTATGTATGTATGTATGTATGTATGTATGTATGTATGTATGTATGTATGTATGTATGTATGTATGTATGTATGTATGTATGTATGTATGTATGTATGTATGTATGTATGTATGTATGTATGTATGTATGTATGTATGTATGTATGTATGTATGTATGTATGTATGTATGTATGTATGTATGTATGTATGTATGTATGTATGTATGTATGTATGTATGTATGTATGTATGTATGTATGTATGCATGTATGTATGTATGTA